GGCTCCTGCACCCGCCCACCCCTGTGCTGGGACCTGGAGATCCCGCCCCCAGGCCCACGGGCTGCACTGAGGGGGTCACACCCAGGGCCCTCCTCACCGGACAGAGTGTTTGGGCGGTGAGATTGGACTTGAACGGACCCCCTCGAGGGAGGAGGCTCTACCGGGGAACCCGGAGGTGGCGGGGGGTGCCGGGGGTGCGGGGGGCAGCATGGTCGCAGACGGCGGTCACTGGGGCCAGGAGATCACCCCCTCCCCGAGTGTGTGAGCCATCAGCGTGTTCTGCCATGTGGCAAAACAGGATTTGGCAGATGTGACTCATCTCACTCAGCCACCTTGGGGGGGGCGGGTCCCCATGACCCAGGTGGGCCTCATTTAGGCTCAGGAGCCTCTAAAAGCGGAGGGGAGGGGCGGCTCTGCAGCAGGAGGGGGCGCTGCTGCCCCGCTGAGCCGGAGGGCACAGGGCCCGGAGGGAGGGCGGGAGGAAGGGCACCCCAGAAGGCTGCCGGCAGGGTAGGGGGCCGCAGCCCAAGTCCGGCGGCCCCAGGGACCTGGACTCTGCCGACAGTAAGAGTGAGCTGGGGACTGGATTCTTCCCCCGCGCCTCCTGGCGAGGGCTCGCCCACAGGTAGGAGCGTTCTGAGCACTTCCATCCGGAAAGCATTTGCAGTTTCCGGGGGAAAGAGTGGTGTGGGCGGAAATCCCAGCCCTGGGCGCCCCCCACCCCCCCCACCCCCCGCCTCGGAGAGCCCGCCCGCCCGCCCGCGAGGAGCTGAGTTAGGAGCGCACGTGTCCTTGGCACGGAGAGGGCAGGCGGGTCCCCGCAGTCAGGACGCCGGCGCCAAGCGGACAGACGGGGTGACCGAGCTGGGCTTCGGCACCGCGGCTCTGCTGCTTCCCGGCCGGGTGGACGTTACTCGGGGGCCGCTTGACCGCCGCTCGGTCAGCTGTCGGCACGAGTCTCCTCCCCTTTCCTGTGCGGGGAGGCGGTTCTCGGTGGTCTACGGGCGCTGGCATGTCAGTGGCCTTCCCTCTCCTCATTTTTATGTGCAGCTCGCGTTCTGAAGATGCACAGACGTTGTTCCGTAACCGGGAGGGAGGGTGCGGCGCTATTCTCACGGCCTGGCGGCAGACCTGTCCCCGGCCACCCTGCACAGCGGGACAGCGGGCTCTTCCCCCGGGCACCCCAGCACGCCGGGGTCCCGCCCCATGAGCCCACGGCCCCGTGCTGACACAGCTGTCCGCCCTCAGGCTTCCCCGCCCACCTCCCCCTCACCTTCCGCGCAGTTATGAGACATGCCGGGAGCCTGGGAAGGTCTGAATCGGGCCACGACACACAGGCCACGACACACAGGGACAGCCGTATCTACATGGCACACAGGGTGTGGGGTGCTCTGGACACAGCTGCACAGGTGACCGTGGACTATGGCCACCTCGAGCTGCAAAGGGACCGTCAGAAGGAGCACTCCAGTGCTGCACAGCGTGGTGGCGGAGACCGGCTGGCAGCCCGAGTGGGCACGGGCTGTGGGCCGATCCACGGTCACCAGATAAGCTCCCAGCGGCCAGAGCAGCCTGCACCCCCCTCATGGCCGTAGCAGCATCCCCACGGCTCTCGCACTCACCACACACTGTGAACTTCAACTTCGTAGGAAATCTCCGCGGTCTTCACCTGTAGTTCCCTCACTACTAACGAGGCTTTTTTGGCATCCTTAGTGTAATCTGGATAGTAATGACGTCAGTTTTAAGTGTTACGAAGTGTTCTCCCCGCCCGTGACCTGTCTCTCCCTCTCACTGTCATTTCACACGATGAGGAGACTGTCCATCAATCCCCTTCTCTGTGGTACGAGCGTTTCCTGTGCCTCCTTCTGGAAAGTTCTCCGCCTTCTTCGCCATCCCTCTGACGTGCCGTTCTGCAGTCAGAGACCGTGTTCCGTGAATCTGACGCTCCGAGGGAAGTTGTCTTCCTTCCTGAGCTAGCAGGGGTTAACGTTCGCACACGCCCAGTGCTTGTGCGGGACAGTACGCATTCCCAGGTGTCAGGTGGGGGCTCTACCATAAACATCCGACAGATGAGGGAGGACAGACACCAGCTGGGAGGGGGGGTGACGAGTCCAAGCCGCGGTGCGCACTGCCCGGCCCGCCGCGGGAGAGGTTCGCCGGCCAGCGCTGGGCTCCCGACCCCCTCCCCCTTTCCTTTCCGACAGCGTTGACGACAGAGCTGTTTCACGGTCCTGTGTGGCGACGGCACCTTCGGAAACTTCTGTTGGCCTCCCCGCTGTCACTGCGTGGAGGCTGACCAGGTGCACACACACCAGCCTCCCCTCGGCCCGCTCCCCTGGTGCGCCCTCCCTCCTGGGGCCCGTGCGGGGCCCGTCGGCTCCGAGCCGCCGCCTTCGCTTCGAACTCCGTTTGGGTGACGCTGTCACGGAACAGCTTCTCTGCACGAGCATTTCTCCTTGCCATGCTTTTACGCCTCGCACTCTGGGTGTGTCTCTCGCAAATAAAACAGCACGCGGCCGGGCTCACCTTTTCCACGGGCTCTGACGGTCTGTCGGCCAGGAAGGTCGGCCCGTTTACTGCACACAGTGACAGGCGCGTTCGGTCTCGTTTCCACCGTCGTCCACTGCGTTTCCTTGCTACGCTGCGTTTCCTATGCCCCTTTCCCTCCCGGCTCCTTTTGAACTAGGTGTTTAAACTCCACTTTTTACCCTCCATGATGTGAACTTTTGGCCTTTTCATCATTTCCCCGAATATCATAACATGAATTCTAGATTTAATGAAGTAAAACAGCTCATTGGCGCCCCTACCCTCCTCCGGAACACTGTGAGAACACCCACACTGTTAATGTCGGATTGAGCCCCCTTTACTCACTTCGTTGCTGTTCATTTTATTGTGCTTTAAGTGGAGAAATACACCATCTGTTTTCAAAATAGTGCTCGAACAACACAAGGAGAACAGAAACGGTAAGACAAAGCAAACTCCAGCCACGAGACACTACGTACGTCATATAAAAGTAGTCTGATGTTTGGATAATGAAAACTAGAATTAAAAAGGTCCCCATCTCCAGCTTAGCAAAACAACACGCAAACACAATGAACACACTCTCCGCCCGGCGACTTCGGCCCGACACCGCGGCCCCGCGGCCCCGCGGCCGCACGGGCACTGCGCACATCCCGTCTGCCTCGCAACTGCAGGGCGGGGGCGGGGCGACTGCCCAGGACAGGCTGTGGGGGGCGGGACCACCGGGGACCGGACGTCGGGAAGTACTGCTGCCAAAGAGTCCCAAGTACTGAAGAGCCCAGAAGGAAAGAAACTGTATCTCAGCTCTGGAAAAATCAATCCAGAAGGACAAAGCGGGGTGCAGGGAATTGCAGTGTGATGCGGACGTGTGTGTGGCGGGAGGAGCCGCAGCGGGCGCGCTGGAGAGCCTGTCCCGGTGCCGCGTGCGACTCCGGAAGGCCGGCGCCGCTCACCCACGTCTGCTGCCACCCACGTCCCCTGGACACGGACGTTTGCTGCTTAATCACGAGGGTTTCTGTTTTAAAGAAAGGCATTCCCAGCTGTTCGTAGGGTAAAACGAAAGAGCAGAAAGCCGACCAAGTGTTAGGTGCTTGATAGAAATTTTTTTTCTAGATGTAAAATTTACTGATGGCTTCTACTAAGGCATTTAAAAGCAAAAATTGGCGTAAACTTCTCTGAGGAAAGACCTTTCTGCTCACCTGTTTGGATTGGACATGGACTTTCCCCTAAACAGGCACTCTGTGGAGGACACACAATTCCTCATGCGCAGAGGTCGAATGGCCGTCCAAGAGGGACCGTGTGCTTCCCGAGCATCGCTCTCGGGGGAGTTTTACTACAACATTAGCCGCGGGATCAGGGCTCGGTGTTCTATGCCGTGTGGCCACAGGACTGCTGATTTCGTGGCAGGGTCAGGAGACACCAGCAGTCTGGGCCTCGGGAGGCATAAGCGCGCCACGCGCACCCAGCAGAGGGAGGGGGTGGGGAGCCCAGGGGCCACCGTGTTTGAGGACAGTGACTGCGGCCAGGGAACAGGGGGCTTCATCGGCAGCGAGATCGCCGGTCGCACACACCGCACCAACAGTTCTACAGAAGAAAAACAATCCATCATTTCTTGACCACGTCCCGTCCGAAGCAGAGATTTACTAATTACTCTTCCGACGTCAAATGTATGTCCTAAGAGTCGACACTTCATTTTGAAAAGCTACAGCTACCTCACGGGGAGAGCGAGCAGATGTATTTTTACACTTTTCCTGAAGCGCGGTATACCACCGCACAGCTGCATCCAATTTGGAGGCTGATAACGGTGGAAAACTTCAGGAAAAAACTAAAATTCATCAAGCTTAAAAATCTAAAGTTAGTTCTACTTTCTAATAATATATATACACAGGACATCAACACAAGGATATCAGACGCCAGTTTGGACCGCAAAGTCCCCCGACGACGCACCAGACACAAGTCCGGCCCGGATGCCGGTCGGGGGTGTGCGTGTAGCTGGAGGGCTCTCTGTTCCCTTTAAGGGAAGCGACCCTCTGAAACAGTTAACATAACTGCTGCTGGCACATTAACAACAACGGCACGTCTAGCTCAGTGTACCAGCCCGGACTTCTGACCAAGACTAGCCCGGCAAAGGAAGTTCCCGAATAAGCCTAACTCTATTCTCAGTCTTATCTAGGTGGGTGGGTGCCCTTCATTCTCCTCCTCCAGCATCTGAAGACGCCAGACCGAGCTGGCAGACATTATTTACGGACCCCGGGGGTTGTTTTTATCAGTCCAATCTGTTTTATTGAATTCCTGATAACGGAACAGGGTTTGCAGCGAGGGCAGGGATACTGGAAAGGCCTGTCCCGGATGCCCCCTGCCAGGCCCACGGAGAAGCTGCGGTCCGAGTAGCTCCAAGCTGAGCTGTACCGTCTCTTTTGGAAATGGTTCCTCCTCTGTTCTGGCTCCCTCGGTCCTTCTTCTTGACGAGGTGAGGCTGTCCTCTAGACGCCCACGATAGGGTTCGCCATGCTGGCTGCTGTGCCCCCCGAGGGCCTGGGCGGGTGGCTCACCAGAAGTGTGGAAGAGACCACTCTGGCGATCGAGGGCTTCGGTGGCAGGGAGATGGCTGCCTGGGGTCCCGTCGGAGGCAGGCCGTCACTCGGCGCGCCCCGTGTGTCCTCGCTGGGGCTCGCCTGCGGCAAGGACACTTCGGTGACGTGCACGCTGGTCACGGAAGCTGCCATGACAGCCAGGGTCGGACTGTCCCTGCCCTGACAGGCGCCAGGGCCAGCACCCGCCTTCGCGGCGGCCCTGCTGTTCTCACTGGCCGCAGACAAGCCGGGACCGCTGTCGCTCAAGGCCGCCAACCCCACGTCCTCCGCAGAATGCGTGTTCTTTTTCTGAAGCACGTGGTTAGGCAGTAGCTGGTGGAGCTCCTTTTTTCTCAAGTGCATTGCATCGATCTTCATATCCATCTCAAACATCTTACTGTTTATCGCCTGCCTGTAAACTGTGTCAGTGAAGGACTGGATATCGTAGGTGAGATCAATACTGAGCACGTCAGAATTTTCTGGCCTTTTCAACACTAACCCAATCACCCACATTGTACAAAACTCTTCCTTGTCGGGATTTTCTTTGGGTGCTGGAAATGACTGAGGGTTCACATGTGCCAGGGTGATAAATTCATTCTTCTCCAAACTTCCCACCAGGATTCGGATTTTTGATTCCACCAAGCCCACCCATTCTAGGTGCTGTTTTTCCGTTGGTGCACTTGCTAGGAGTACAATGTAATGCTTGTACTTCTGAAAGAAGCTTGGAGCTTCGAAAAGTTTGGACCACTCTGCCTTACTCAGCAAAATCTCATGTGTGATAGCGAGCCCTTGCTTAAACTCCTCAATCATGACCATCCTCGTGGAGACCGACACATTGTACGTGGAGTTCTGCTGAGGGTACGCGGGGGTGATTATAGGCATCAGATGGTACCTGTCACTGGGGTTCACTCTTGGGTCCCACACAGGCAAATTAAGATTTCGTTCTTCGGGCTCTTTCAGCAGCACTGGGTTTGGCCACTCCCATTCAGAAAACACCAAGAAGAACTTCCGCACAAGGGTCGATGCTACTGCATTGGGGTACAGCTGGCACGTCCTGGCCACTAGCATGGCCCAGGAAACCCCTCCCAGGAAACCCAGTATGTTGGAGTAGATGTTGTGGCACTTGGCCCACAGCTTGATGGCTCGGAGAGTTAACCTGAAGTTGTCGATGTTTGGTACCAGGTGTAGTATTTCGTCCGTTACCCGGCAACCGTTAAGGCTTCGTATGCATCTAATGTCTAAATTTTTCAGCAGACTGTCGTCTCTGAGGTCCAGGTCTTCCGGAATAGTCTGCAGTGCTAACCTCGCAAACAGAATGTCAATCTCTATGCCATCGAAACACAGCCTGATAACCGGCACGAAGGCCTCCTCAACAGCCCTTAAGTCTCTCACTTCTGCGTGCAGCTTCAGTTTACCGTAGAAGGAGGAGAAGAAGTCACTTCGGTCGACGTGTCTCGGCGCGACGCACAGCGCGTCGATGTCGGCGCCTTTCGTGTGCACGCCTAGTCGGTAGGAGCCGAACGTGAAGATTTTGCCTCCAACGTTTTCGATTATAGCCGGCGGGAGGCTTTTGCTTTCGCTGATTTCTCGTATCCATTCCTTTACCAGATTATTTAATTTCTCCAAAATTAAAATCCTGCGCTGCAGTTCCTCTTCCTCTTCCAAAACCCCGAAGGGCTTCAGGGTTTCAATTAATTTCTGCGTAAGTACGCAGTCTGCCTCCTTGGGGGCGGCCAAGCTGATGGGGGAGGAGATGCCGCGGAGCTTGGGGGGCGGCGGGGTCTGCTGTGCTCCCGGGGTCGTCACCGGAAAGGGCATCATCTCTAGCGCTGGCCCAGCCACGCCACGTTCCCCGCCACCGCGACCTCCTCGGCCGCTGCCCGGGTCATGATCCGCGGAGGCGGGAGGGGCGGGGCTCCTTCCAGGTCGGACCCGCTCCCGCCGGTTCAAGCGTCTCTCCGCTGTCCCCTAAGCCCCAACATGGCGCCCAGGCCCTCGACGCGACGTTCTAGAACTGCCACGCACACCAAGCAGGCGAAGGCGCATGCGCGCCGCGCAGAGCCTCACGGGAGCTGTAGTTTCCAGGGGTCTGCCACAGGTTTAGAGTTTCAGGCTTCGGGCTTGGGGAGGTGGGTTTTGGTTCTTGGCTTTTTTACAGCTTTCTGCATTTACCGTGACCTACCATCTGTTTCTTTGCTCACCATGTCTTCTTGCACCTCAGATCTACTTCCGCCCCAGGGGCCTCTCCAGCTAAGGTCCATTTTTAGAAATGCCCTTTCAGCGAAGGTCTGCTGGTGAGCAGCAGCCCCGGCCGCGGCCTCCGGGGCTGGGGCCCTCGGGGGCTGGGGCCCGGATGGAAGTGTAGCCAGGCCGGCACCTCCAGCTGGGCGGCTTTGTTCTCTTCTTGCTCTTAAGGTCTCGGCTGCTGTCTGCTGGTTTCTGCAGTCCTGTTGCGCAGTCTGCAGTCGAGCTAACCTGCTGCTCGCCTGTCTTATTTTAGGCAGCTGTAAAAACCTCTGTCCTCAGTGCCCTGTGTCAATGTTAAAAATAAAATAGCCAGTTCTTTTGCCTGCAAAAAATGACTTTATTCGGGTAGGCAGAGGAAATGCAATTCCGGATGTCCAAGTTATAGCAAACCATAGGCAAGTCTGGAAAACAAAGGAGGGGAACTCTGAGCGAGAAGAAGGAGGGGGGCGCTGGGGGGGCGGGGGGGAGCAGGGGCAGGGGCTATTGTAAACAAAGTGTCCATTGGAGGAAGCCGGGAGTGGCAGTTGGAAGTGCAATGACTTCCCATTGGCTGAGGCATGGCAGTTTCTCATTGGCTGGGTCTGTTGCTAGGCGAGGGGAAAACCCTCCTTTGTCCTGCTGCAGTGGAGTGAGCTGCTCGCCGCCGCCCTGAAGTGCAAAGGCGGCTTCCTCCTACCGGAGGAAAATGTGCAAATGGCGGTGAGCGGTAGTGCGGGAGAGCTCCCCCAGGACTTCCCAACTCCGTTTCGAGTGTGGTTTCCTTTATTGTTTTCACACCTGCAGTACCACCACCACTAGGTGTCAAGGGGTAAATTCCTTTTTATTTGTCTTGCACAGGATATCCTGCGTTTCATGCTTTTCATTTCGTGAGGTCCGTAACACTTTCAGGCGTGTCCTGGGAACACGTTCCCGCCGCCGTTCCCTGGGGTCTCTCCGGGCAGATGCGCGACAGGCCCTCTCATCCTGTCCTCGGAGTCTGGTACCCATGTTTCTCCCGGGGCGACGGCAGCTCTGCCCCTCCTCGGTTCTCTCCTCCGTTCTCTCCTTCCCTCCTCGGTTGTGTTTAGTCGCTGCCGAAGCCTTCCCTGAAACATCCGTTTAAATGCTTGTATTTCCGTTACTAGAAGCATTATCTTGTTCTTTCCCAAAGTTTCCCTGCCTCTGTAGATGACATTCTTCCTCGCCTGTTTTTTCCCCTCCTTCTTATTTCTTTCAACATTTTAAACACGTCTAATTACTCAATATTACATAATGGTCCCGGTTCCTGATGTTCTCGAGAATCTGATTCAATCTGATTTGTTGTTTTCTCCAGACTCATTCAGAGTACATCATTTCGTGGGTCCTGTAACTTTGGGTTATGAGCTCATCTCTGGCAAGGCTGGGGGCGGGGGGTGCCCGTGGGAAGGTTGTCCTTCCGAAAAGGATGTGCTGTGTTTCTCTCAGATGTCCTTGGACACTACCAAATGATGTACGCTGCAGTTTAATTTCTGATCCAGGGGTTACCCAGACCACAGAAGTAGTCCAATTGGAAACCCCAAACACAGGCGAGAGGAAGAGAGGTTTTCAGTTCCAGGGAAGAGCCTAGTTTTCCCCCACCCAGAGCCCAGGTCCAGGAAGATAAGTCTCCGTTATCTCCTCCGACCAGGTAGCAGATTCCTCTGACTCCATCCTTACGTTCGATGTGCGGCCCTCAAGGGTCCAAGCTACATTGGGGGTCTCAGTTCCAACCCCCACCCTTTCGGTCCAAGGCTCCATCTCTGCTTCTTCCGCAGCCATCAGCACTAAGATCCACGGCTGCGAAGAGCAGAGAGTGTGTCCAGCTATGATCTCCCCCGAGTTTTCCATGTTAAGCACCGCGCGCCTCTCTCCGGAGGCTCACTGTGTACCATCACGGCCAGAAGTCTCCCAGGGGCGGGCGGCGCTGCCAGCCAGGCCCCACGCGGGCACCACCCACCTTGGGAGAACAGGCGGCGAAGCCTCTCTCTGCCTCTGCCTGTCTGGGTGAAACCAAAGGCTATGAATTTTTTTTTTAAAAATCTGAGCAGGGAATCGAAGGATAAAACTGGCTGTCAGCAGCTGACCGTTGAACTTCATGTCCTTGTTGAATTAAAAGTTCTTAAATGGCTTTTAAGTTCAATTACTTTTCCAGTCCTGGACTGGTTAAAAAGGTGGGGGTTGTTTTGCTTTTCCCCAAACCGCATGGAGCAGACACTCTGCACAGTGACTCTGTCACTGAGTCATGGTGAAGAGAGTCTTACTCAAGACCCAGGAGGGAGTGACTCTGAATAAAAGGAGAAAACAACTCAGATCGCCTCCCCCAACCTGACGTAAGTTATTAAAACTCAGATTCGTGGCGAGAAAAAAAAATGTCAAGAGAAATGGACCACAGCAAGGTTGGGGGACGGGGAGGACCGGGTTCGTGGCGCACCGTTAGCAGTGGAGCCTGAACATCCCTGTCAATCACCAGGGGCCACGCCCCGTCTGCCCGTGCGTGGATGGCAAAGTAGGGAGACACACACACACCCAAAGCTGGGTGCTCAGAGATGACGCCTTCACCACTGCTAGCCACTCAGCTGGGCTTAGCAGAGGGGGGGGGCTGGCAGGTTGCACTGTAGGGCGCCAGAGTGGCGCAGCCCTGGTCACTGGAGCCACAACTTGCAGAAGCGGACAGCCACGCCGTCGGTTTGCCACCCTCCTCCCCATCCCAGACCCGCCGCAAAGAAAACAGCTGGACTCCGGCTCCGGAGCCCAGGATGCACAGGGAGGCCGAGAGGAGCCCGCTCTTCCACGCGACCTCGGCCCTTCGCCGGGCTTCCAGTGAGCACCTACGGCATGCCAGACGCCACAGGACATGGGAAGGGCAGTGAGGCCCAGCCCTCAGTGACTGACGCAAAGGTGTCCCTGGAACTGTGTGACCTGCGGGGAGAGAGCCTCGCGCCATGGTGGTTTTCGAAACACTGTCCGCTGGCCTTTCCCCAAAGAGGGCGCCCACCGCGAAGCAGGCCCTGCCTCCCAGGAGCCCGCCGACACAGCCCCTCCGAGGCCCACGAAGGCCACGCAGAAAGGCACCACAGGCGCAAAACAAGAAGCTCCCCGTGTCACCCTTCTCAGGACACCGGGCTTTCTCGGACCCTCGGAGCGCGCCGCAGGAGGGGCAGCGTGGCTGATGGCCGCAGGGCACGTGACCGCTGGCCCCAAAGGCCAGGCACTGGGTGTGGCTGAAACTGAGCTCAACCAAACGGAGTCCAGGCCGCCGGGTCCAAACCGGTGGTTCCCAGTCCAGGGCGAGGCACGCCCAGGACTCTGCCCTCAGGAACCGGTGGCTGCCACGACAGGTAGAGGCGCACCGGCCTCCTGGGGTAGGGGCAGAAGGGGGCGCTGCTGCGTGTCCTTTGCCCTGCAGGAGAGAACTGCTGGCCCAAATGGGCCAAGGCTGAGAAATGCAGCCTCGACCCACTCTTCCATCCTGGAAGCAAAGCGAACCCTTCTCCGGCCCTCCCCCCGCTGCTGATGGAAACCACATGGCCTGCTGGGGGGGGGGGGGGCGCCTCCCGAAGGAGCTGATCGCCTTTATCTCAGTGATAGGATCCAGAGCCCTCTCCGCGCGGCGCCGGGCCAGTACCGCCTCCTGGGAAAAGGCAGTGAGAGCCACTTTGCAGCCCCACCCACACCGGCCTCGGCTCTCCCAGAGCCGATGCACAGTGTTTTGATCCTCTGGAAATCAGGGGAAGTGGCAGCTGTGAAAGGTGATGTTTATGGAAAACAAACACCAAAGCGCCTGAGCGCACACCAGCGGCCGCAGTGGGGAAGGGGATGGGCTGGGCCCCGTGGGCAGTGCCCTCGGGAGCACCTGGCGCGCCCACTTCCCCACTCGCGCCTCCCGGTGATTCCCGGGCCGCGTGCAGGGGACCCGGCTGCCTGCGGGGGCTCCCGGCGCCCACGCCCAGCTGCTGCTCAGAGGCGCGGCGTGGGCTTTGGCTGGAGGCCGCCTCTGAAACCAGCACAACCCGCGAGCCCCGCGCCCTGACAAGCAGGGAGTCCTCTGCTGGGGGGACAATGGCTGGAACAGTGAAAATTACCGAGCCAGTGCTCAAGAAGGCTGGCGTTAGTTCACACACACTCACACGTGCGTGTGCACACAGACAAGGCGCACACGCGCAGCCCTTCCCCTGGCCAGGGCCTGCTCACTGGGGAGCCAGTGTTAGAAGGAGGCACCGAGGCCCCTCCCAGGGCACACGGAGGAGCCGAGACCCTTTCCCCTCACACTTCACACACAGCCCCCGGCCGGGCCGGCGCCCTCTTCACCCTAGGCCGAGTATCTGCCCTGAGCCGGTCTCAGGCAGAGGGGACAGAGGAGGGGTCGGCTCCCTTGGGGCGGGACCCCCGTGCGGAGGGGAGGAGGTGTCAGAGCAGCGTCGGGGGCCACACGACGGCCACCTGCAGACCCGCAGACGCTGCAGCGCGGCCCCGCTGCTCGGAGTGTGCCCCACGAGTGAGTGTGCACGCACGCCCCTGCGTCACAGCCCCACGCGCCACAGGAACCACCAAGCGAAGGCGCTCACTCGGAGGTCCGGGACCCCCGCCACCCCCCAGGCTTTGGAGCAGGGCTCTGCGCCGTGGGCGTCTGTCCCGCGCGGCTGCGGCCAGCACCGGTGGCCCGTCCGTGTCTCTGATGACAGGAGCAAGCGTGCCCGCCCTGGGACACCGTCTCGTCACCAGGCCGTCTTCACCGTCGCCGGCAAGGGGGCTGGCAAGGCCGGAGGCGTGGACGACCCCGGACTACACCCCGAGCAGCAGGCCGCGGAGGAAGGCCGCCTCCCTGGGGTGCGGGAGGCTGCTCCGGGCAGGTAACCCAAGCCGCTGTCCGCCAGAGAAGTGTGTCAGCGAGGCCAGGCTGCTCAATGGACTCTTTATGCGAAGGGCTTTGCAAAACCACCGGGCTGAATAGGCTGTGAGCAGCAGGCCTTCCCTTGCCCCAACGGCTGTTGGGAATAAAGGAGCGGGAATAAAGGGGTCGGTGAGCAGGGGACCGGGTCCCCCCCTCCCCACAGGTGGCGTCTGGCCCCCAGGGTCGCCGTCCAGGAAGCGGCCGTGCGGCACAGGGCAGGCTTTCCCAGGCCCCGCCCAGGAGCCCGGGGCCCAGCGACCTTCAGGACAGGCAGGGCTGGCCCTGGCCCCTGTGCACTCTGCAGCAGAGGAAACGGGGGCAGGACCACGGCCTCGCGAGGGACACCGGCCCCTCGCCCACACCCCACAGCCGGCCTCCCGGGGCGTCGACCAGAATGAGGGGCTGGGACCAAGTGCAAACCTGTGACCCTGGGGCCTGCGGGGTGCGGGAGTCGGGTCTGAAGGACTTGAAACAACAACAACATCCTCCATATCGGCTGGCTTTTTATCGCTCCGTGTGCCAGAACCATAACACGTCAGCGACAAACCCTGCTCCCTGCCAGAGGGCCCCCCCCACCCGCCCCGCCCTGGGCCGGGCACCCACAGGCTGCAAGACAGACTCCCACCGGCGCGGGAAGGGTCAGCGGTAGCACCGCCGCCACCCAGGGCATGGGGCGCGTCCTGAGCACTGTGTGTGCCCTACTGCATCCACCCCACTCTCCAGACCGGGGAACCGGACCGGGGCCCAAAGAGGCGAAGCCATCTGCCCACGGCGGCAGTGGGTGGCCATGGCATGGCTGTCTCTGTGTGATGCGGCGTCCCGGCCAGGCCTGAGGGACGTCAGCCCCTGGGAGTCCCACCGCCCCCCACACCCACTGCCGTCGTTACACCCCACTGGGGCCAGGCAGGCTCCGGCCTCACCCCAGAGGCAGGACTAGAGGAAAGGCCATCTCAGCACCTCGGGGACGCGCGCAGCTCGGCTGGGGAAGCTCAAAGGCCGCTTTCCATCCCGGAAAATCACAAAACCAAGTGACGGGTCTCCTGAGACCACTTAACACCCCTCCACTCTGGGCCACCTAAGACGAGGCCACTTGCCCACGTAAAGTCACCCTTTTCTAGGGGACACTAGGAGAAAGTCAAACATCTGAGATACAGCGGTCTTTGGACATTTGAAAAGTTATTTTTGTTTCATTTACCTGTTAAGATAGTCAATTCTTTCCACCGACTGCATAACAGCCAGACCCAGAGCAGTGGCCACGGGCCCCGGAGCGCCCCCTGCCCCCGGGCCGGGCCCAGAGCTGCCGCTGCTGCTGCCTGCGAATCTCACACGGACAATGGCTGGGGCCCCCCGCCCCCGCACAGCCCCAGCACCCACGGGCCCAGGCGCACCCGGACGCACCCTGCAGCCCGGGAGGCCCGGCTCCTTCGCCTTCTCGCTGGGTTGCCCCTAAGAGTCGCCCAGGGCCTCGGGCATGGGACTTCCTGTGAGGTGCCCACACCGCACTGGACACGGTGTCTCTGCGGCTGGTGGCGGGACAGCCAGGCAGGGATGACGATCCTTACTCCAGAGGAGGAGCCTGCCTGCAGCGCCCTCCGTGTCGCAGCCACCCAGCAGGCCGGCCTCCAGAAGGCCCCGCGTGAGTGGGGAGCGAAAGACGGTGTCCTCAAACACGCGGCAGAGGCCCCATCGGAGCCGAGCAGACACCCCCCCCCACCCCCGGCCACTGCTCTGCCTCCCCGCCCTCCCCTGACCGGTCTCGGCACCCGAGTCTCCTGCCCACCTGCCGTCGTGGTGTCCACGTCCCTGGCTGCCAGCTCCTCCACGTCTGACCGCTTTCTCAGCTCAAACCGCCGGGACAAGCCTTCTCGGGGCTTCCACAGTTCCTGAATCAAGAGGGGCTTCTCGTTGTCCCCGAACACCCGGAAGCATTCGGCCTGCCACTGCCGCCCGGAGCCGCCGGCCCGGCCCACCGCGTCACACAGCACGTACTGGCCGGCGCGCTCGGGGCTCAGGCCGTAGCGCTCCAGGGCCTCTCTCACCAGCTCCCGAGCGCTGGACGTGCCGGTGGCCAGGACGCTCTTGTAGTGGGTGCCCGTGCAGACACTGTCCCCAAACACCTTCAAGACCCCGGGGGCCGAGAGCTGGGTGGAGAGCTCCGCGGGGTCATCACTGGCACCCAAGCCCGTGAAGGTGGCGTCCAGGTCGCGGTACTTGTAGCTCAGCGTCCGGGACAGCACGCTGGACAGCAGCTGGCCCTGCCGCTTCAGCTTGCTCTTGGTGGGCGGAGACATGATGAAGTGGGTACCATAGAACATGGTGGGCCCGTCCTCATGGGCGAGGGTGGCGGGCTCAGCCAGCGGCGGGGAAGCGGCCGTGTCCTGGGGGAGAGACGAGGAGGGTCAGATTGAGCCAGGAGCAGCGGAAGCACACAAGGCGCACAGGCACTGTCCCCAGCGTCACGGCCATCCGGCCCCGGGGCCCCAGCAGAACAGCAGACCTGCTGCCCTCAGCCAAGCCGCCACAGGGGGGGCCACTGGGCACCATGCAGATGTGAGCAGGCTCACGGGCCCTTCGAGCCACGCCACCACTAGAAAGCTGACGAAGTCACCGAAAGGAGGACACACCCCCTGTCCTGTTCCAGCACCCTCCTGCCAAGAGCTGGGCTCATGGACACGGTGGGGTGTAGCCAGAGAGCAGCGGGGTGCGGCCGTGGCCGTGGGCTGTACCTGCAGAGTCCTGGCAGGGTGGCCCCCTCCCCGAGGCAACCTGCCTCCTACCACATCACACCCAAGGAGAAGTCGTCAACAACGGAGTCCGCCAGACGCCTGATCTCCCTACATCCAACCTCCCCCCCACCACAGCCTGTAACTGGAGACTCGCCGCAAACCCGAGTGGGACAGGGAAAGCGGGAGATGGCCAGTCCCGGCCTGGAGGCGCCATGTCCCTGGGACAGCAGCACTGGAATGTCCACACGGCCACAGTGGACACAAAGGGCTCTTCCAGAACCGAGGAAGGCGCGACCGGAATGTGTGCGTGCATTCCACTGACCGCGTCCGTCCGTCTGGCATCCGGGCCCCGTCCGGGCCCCGCATGCTGTCTCGGTGGGGAGGTGCGGAAACAGCTCCTGGGCGCCTCGGTGAGTCACTCGGCCACCATTCCAGCACGCTGAGTGCTCTGCGGGCCTTGATTCTGAAGAGGCAGCTTATCAGGCCCCGGAGCTCCCGGGGAGCAGCAGGCGTGGCGGAGGGAGCCGCCTCCGCTCTACACCACGTCTGCGGGAGACTCGGCACCCCCACGCCTGTGCTCTGTCCTCACCAGTGACGGGAGTGGAAGACCAAAGGAGAAAAGCCCGTTTTCTTGAAGCCTCTGGAAACAGTGCCCAGGGCCCAGTGAGGACCTGGCAGCGCTGGGCACCTGCCGCTCTGACCAACGTCAGCGCCCACAGTCCCAGCTCGCTCATGGCTCCACGGGCTGGAAAAGGCTTTCGGGGGTGGGGCGGGGATGCTCCCCGGTCCGACAGCCTGCTGCTCTCGCTTGACCACGGTGACGCCTTCGTTGTGAGCCACCCTCTGAGGACGTGGCCCGCCGAAAGCAGCCAGGCCAGGCGTCCAAGCAGAAGGAGCACGTGAGGCGCTCTCTGCCGCCTCGCCTGAGGCCGTGAAGGAATGCGCATGTCAAAAGTTATGTTTCTCCTCCCCCTCGTCAAATCCTGGGGAGGCCTCACTTCCTGTGCCCGTCAAAGGCTTCGATTTCGTCTACAGCAAAGCATCTCCGAGAGCACGCAGGAGCATGACAAAAACACGGCTTCGCACGCCACATCGGCAGCTCCAGACCCGCCTTCTGACAGGCGCGAGCCGGCCTCCGACGCTGCCAGCATGCACGCCACGGACGCCCCTCGCTCAGAGGACCTGCCCCTTGCCTTACTGGGCCCCTCCCCCAGGCAGAGCTCCAGGGTCCCAACCCAAACCCGAAGCAGCACTCATGCATGACTCAAGCCTCTGCCGTTCGAGATCGTGTCTGAGTATAGATTTGAATACGATGCTGAAAACTGCAGAAAGCGTCACGGAGGAGCCACGAGGAGACCTCGCAGGAGCGTAAAAAGCCCAGAAACCTGGAGAAGGGAGCTGCTATTTTGTGCTAAGGTGGATCTAGGTTCTGTAACATCTAAGACTAACACAATTCTGCTGTAATAAAAAAGAAATTAAAAACTACAGATGCACGGCTGCTTGTCCACTCCCAGGGCCTGGGAAGCAAGCGCCCCTCCCTCCCTCCCTCCCTCCCTCCCTCCAGCAGCCCCTGGTGCTGGACTCTGAGGCAAAGCCAGCCGTCTCAGGAAGAGAGGGCAGAAAATGTCCGGGGGAGGTGAACCGAACCTCCCTGCTAACTCCTCCTCAAGCCCCGAGAAGCCGCAGCAAACACAGAGAAACGCAGACCCTGATCTGCTTTATGGGGAAGCTCACTCTCCTCGTGGTCATTCTCGGTGGCCATATCAGAGAATGACCCCAGACGCCCACTTGTCCACGCGTCACCTGCCTTCGCAGTCACTGAACGCAGACACGGCCTGCCTGTCGGAGCGGGGCGGGCTGGTATTTTAGACAGGGCCAGAGCGGCGGAGGAATACCCTGCAGAGTGGGGCTCGCGTGGGGAACCAGCGCTGCTTGGGGGAGACGGGACCTGCCTTTTCCTCTCCTGTCCAGTTCTCCCCTCTTTCGCATTGACACTTGGAGGGGGGGGACACGGGCCCGAGGGCGTAGGCTGTTGCTTCTCCTAGAGACCGTGTTTGGTCTCGCTCTCAGGGAGGAGCCGGAGTTCTGATGGAAACAGGCTCAAGTCCCACGGGCGGGCGCGGAGCGCGAGGTCAGCGCGAGGCTGACGAGGTGGGCGGAGGACGTGGCCGGCCGGCACCGCAATGTGGAACCCATTAGCGTTTCCAGCAGGACAGGACAGGACAGGACAGGACAGGAAGAGGGGAGGCGTGCAGGCTCTGCTTTATCTCCACCGTCCATAAATCCCGCCTGGACAGATCCGGCCCCTGCGATGCTTTTCCACGACAGAATAATTTAATCAGGTTTAATCTGACATGCTAGCCTCTGGAGACGGGACTGCTGTTTTTCTGCCAATGGGATTAAGGAGCTGGCTCCTCTCTGGAATGCACAAGAGGTGGCCCGCGCTCACGGGAGACACCTGTAATCGCCGGGGACTTGGGAAATTCTTTTCGGCCATTCAGGTTAACCAAACACTTGACAGGGTGCCGGGGCCTGGGCCGGCGAGTCCGCTGCTCTGCGGGGTCCCAGCAAGGGCTCCCCCCCGCTGATGGGACATAAGCCAGTCCCTTCCACGAGCCCTAGGAGCTCCGGCTCGGCATCTGTTTGCTTGGATGCAGAATTTGTCCACGGGCTGGAAATGGCACAGAAATAGCTGGGAGACACCGTTCTCAGCTGGCACCCGGGTGGGAAACGCGCTGCTGCGTGAGCAGGAAAACCAGGACGGGCTGAGGGAGGGAGGGAGGGAGGGAGGGAGGAGTCGCGGGATGTCGCGCAGACCCTGGAGAAAGGGAGTGGACTCCTGCTCCCTTCTCCCCTCGGCGCCCGCGCCGCCGAACTCCCCTCCCAGGGGCCCCCGGAGAGTAAGGCCCGGGGGTCCTCTGCGTTGGAGGGCCAAGGTCCAGGAGGCAGTGGCCACACCAGGCGCCCGTAACCCAAAGACTGGGCAGCCCTCACCCGAGAGGCCAGCCTTCAGGTCCCGATCCCAAATGCCGCCCTGGGCCCCAAGACCCGGCCTGTTTCCATGGCAACAGGACAAGCCTTGCCTAGGAGGCCCGGGAGATGCCCCGTGAGGGCCCCGCTGCCCGAGCTCGCGTCCCGCGGCCTCCCGGCTCGCTCGGCCTCCGTGCCCAGGAGCTCCGGCTGCCGCGAAGCGCCCCACGTCCATGGCCTCTCCTCGCGCACCCAGCACTCACCTCCAGCTCAGCCCGCCGCCGCAGCGATCCCGCGTGGCTCCCACACCCGCCGTTACCCTGAGCCCCTGCGGTGACCCGCGAGGCGCCTCCTGCCGGCAGCTCAACGGACGGGCGGGGCGGGGCCTCCAAGAGGTGGGCCCGGAGGCGGGGCTTCTTTGGGGCGGGGCCTCGAGGGGAGGGGCCGGGGCGGGGAAGAGTAGGGCAGGGTGCGGGCTCTTTCTGCCGGCCACCCAATAGACAGGGCCGAGCCCTCCAGGGGGCGGGCCTCAAGTGAAAGGGTGGAGCTGGTGAGGGGTTGGGCTGGGCGCTGGCGCCACTTGCCAGCCAATTAATTGTGTGGGCGTGGCCTCGACAGTATGGGCGGGGTTTCCAGGACAGGGGCGGGGCTAGCTTTTAGAGAGGCGTGGCTGTGCAGTGCACCCCTTGCTTCAATTCTAGGGACCGAGCCTCGGCGGGAGGGGCGAGGCCAGGGCTAAGCTCAGGTGCCAAGTGCTAGCCCAGGCTTTGGGAGGACACGTGGGCTGGCTGTGTTTCATCCCCACCTGTTAGTCCTGCACTGGACAGGGCCAAGAAGAGAAGGGAGCAAGCAGGCTAAGGCAAGCGCTTACCAGAAGCAGGCAGCCCAATATATAAACATCTAAGGCCTGAGAAGGGGATGAGGGTGGCCGGTTCTGTCTCCCCTACATCTGTCCCCCACCCAGCGGCCAGAGCGTTCAAGGGCAGATCAGATCATGGCGCTCTTCTGCTGAAAACGATGCAACACTGGGCTGGGCTGGGCCGGGTCAGCTCCGGGGCTCTGGCCCAACCACCCTCCCTGGGTGACGGTGTTTCAAAAGAAGCTGGTGTCCTCATAGCGCGCTTTGGTACTGGCCCTCTGGCTGGGGTTTCACCCTGGAGAAAGACTTCTCATGGAGAGGCCCCTTTGTCCCACTGTGGTCCCCCTCTAGACCTGGGGGCATCACGTGACCTCAGATATAGAGATGCAGAATTCTGACCCTTTGGGTTGGAAGCTATGGCAGCACAAACCCCATATTTGCTAAGGGAAAGTGGGAGGAGGGAACAGGCACTTATTGGTCACCTACTGTATGCTGGACCATATGCTAGGGGCTTCCCTTAGGTCGTCTCATTTACATGCAACTCCCATCAACCCTCTGAGGCAGGTGGTTACTCCCCCTTCGCAGCTGAGGCAACAGAGGCTCGGAGAGGCCAGCTAGAGATAGAGCCAAGAACTGAGCCTGGGACCGTGTGATTAAATGATTCCTGTTAGAGGACTCCCCACATGCACACAGGAACCTTTATGGGGCTCCCTATATCCACACACAACCGCCCCTCACCCAGACCCTGAAGAAGCAAACATCGGGGGGAGGGAGGAGAGCCTGGGTTTGGGTCTGTGTTTTCCTCGTGACGTATAGTATTTCTCACCCCAATTCAGGCTCATCTGCCCTCCCTCCCCACACCCTTCTCGGGCAGGGGTTGGCAGACTGTGACCTGTGGGCCAAACCTGAGCTGCTGTCTTTGTAAATAAAGTTTTATTGGAGCACAGCTACATGCATTTGTTTCTGTGTCCCCTACAGCTGTTGTCATGCGACAGACGTGACAGGCCCAGACACACAGGTTCATTCACTACCCGTCCCTTTACAGAAAGCGTTCGCTTCCCCCCTCCCCGCCACCCCAAACTTTACGGTCTTGTCCCGCCAACCCTCTGGTGTTACCCCAGAGCTTCCCTCCTCTGCATCTCTGCTCAGGTCATTCCTTCAGCCGGGAAACGCCGTTCCCAGCTGGGTCGGTCAGCTCAAGCTGCCATGACAAAACGCCACACACCAGGTGGCTTTAACAACGGGACTTGACTGGAGAGTCGTGGAGGCTAGAAGTTGAAGATCAAGGTGCCAGCAGGGTCAGTTTCTCTCCTTGGCTTGTGGACAGCTGTCTTTCCCCTGTGTCCTCACGCGGTCATCCCTCTGCGTCCTAATCTCTTCTTCTTATAAGGACACTGATTAGGTTGGATCAGCACCCGCCCTAATGACCTCAGTCTAACGTAATCCTTCCTTAAAGGGCCCGTCTCCAGATGCCGTGGCAACCTGAGTTATTGGGGGTTAGGACCTCAACGCAAAGATTTTGGGGGGACGCAATTCAGCCCATCACACCAACTTTATCACCTAGCCAATTTCTACACATCAAGGCTCAGGTTAATTGTTACTTATATAGTAGCCAGCCTCCAAGATGGTCTCCAGGATTTACGCCTTCTGGTTTTCACGCCCCTGTGGGGTCCCTTGCCTTGTTGGGTGGGGCCAAACCGTGTAACCCATCAGATGCTCTCGAAATGGCAGCGTAACTTCTGGAGCTAGATTGTGAAAGATGTGGCTTCCCAGGCCCCCACCGACTGCTCCAACTGCTCTCCGCGCTGGAGCTGCAGCCCCAGCTCTGCTTTCAGGCACTAAGCCCAGCCCCTCCTCTGAAGCCGCTCCCCTTGCTGCCTCCTCTCCCTAAAACGCCCGCCCTGCGGTGTGTGCCTGCGGGCACCACCCTCTGCTCGACACCCCGCTCCGCTGCTGCCTCCTGCCCGCCGTCTGGACAGCCACCCCTGTGGCCACGCTCTAGCTCTTTGTCACCATTTGTGCGTTTAACACACACTAGGATCCGTGCCCCCATAAAGTAGGTGCTCGGTAAATATCCGTTGAAGGAATAAACAAAGGAATGAATAGATTTCTGCCCCTCTCCCCTCTCCCCCTCTCCCTCAACCGGAAGCTGCTCAGGGGCAAAAGCTGACTTTTATTCATTCTTGTATCCAGCACCGGGCCCTTGGGCAGGGGAGCAAAACACATTTTTGAACTCCAGGGTTGAAGAGCTTGGGACGTTCACTGGACAAAAGTGAAGTGTTGAGCTGCTGCCCTCGGTGGCCACCAGAGGGCGGCAGGGTCCTGGGACTCTTTCCCGGGAAAGGCCCGAGTGAGCCTCTGGTTTAGGTCAAAGTTTAAGTTCCCAGGGATGGCGGGTCCAGGGACAGAGAGACGGGGCACTGGGGACCAGCAGAGAGGAAGGGTAGGGGGCCGCAGGCACAGAGACGGCTGTAGGCCCCAGCCTTTCTTTCAGAGGCCGCTCTGTCCGCATCACTAGGGGGGCCGGCAAAACGAGTGATGTTACCCTCGGATTCCACCCCCAGCCCCGAGACCTATAAATAGCAGCGCTCTGGGTTCCGCCGCTCCCTGTAGGCTCGCCGGCCGAAAACAGCGATCGCTATTTTCCTTCCCACGTCGTATCCTGAGGAACTTCCACTCAACAACTTAGTGCCTCCAGGCGCCGGTTTCACGGGTGGGGTACCCGCGTAAGCCCAGCGGGGCGACAGGGCGGGGACACTCTGGATGGGAGTCAGTGTGAAGTTTACGTGCACATTCCGCCGCAGACGGCCGGCAGGGGGCGCGCTCATCTAACGGGGAGATACGGAGTCCGCGTCCCTCGCGCACAGCTAGGGAACGGAGCCGGGGGCGGGGGGGGGGGGGCGGTGGCCGTGTGAACGGAAACAAACAAAGCGACACAGGTGTTAACACCATTCAAACAGGCCGTGTCGGGTTGCTTCACGCTCGAGTGTTTGACCTGTTCTAAAGAAACTTGAACTGCGCTCACGGAACTGTCGAGAATTCCAGGCTTCCAGCAGGGGGCGCTGGGGAGGGGCGGAGGAGGGAGTGTGGGGGTGGGGAGGGGGTAACAGGTGACGGAAGGAGACCTGACTTGGGGCGGTGAGCGCACAGCGTCGCGGACAGGTGGTGTGCTGTGGAATCGAGCACCTGTAACCTGTATACTTTTGCTAACCAGCGTCACCCCGACACCTTCAATAGAAAGGGAGAAAAATGCAGGCTGGGTGACACAAGAAATCACCCGCCGCCGTGGTCACTGGACCATCTGCGTGGAAACCCCAGTGCCCTCGGGACTGGGGACATGCCGACGAGTCGTATTCCACCCCTCGGAGGAGCTGGGATCAGCGCCACTCGCCCAAAATGCGAGCGTGCACGACAGCCACGACACACACACGCACACACGGGCATGCATGCCCGGGGACCACACGCTGCCAAAGAGCCGGACGCGCTGGGCCGGGCCTCACGTGTCTGAGAGCGCCCTCCATGTATGTGTGTACTCGACGCGCGGCCTGTGAGCGTTTGTTAGACGATGCCCCTCGGCTGACGACGTCTAGGTACGGGAAAAAGAACAAACAGCGAGAAAACACAACGCATTAACTGCGTTTTAAACTGAGAACTGGGAGCGGGCGTCTACTTCCCAACGTTGGGGGGAAAGAGCTCCGTCCACCGGAGACCGTCCTTCTGGTTTGCGAGGAAAGAGAGGCGTGGGAGCCCCTACCGTACCCTGAGCCAAGAGCGGCTGAAGGACTTGCTTGTCCGTGGTCACGACATCTCATTAATGACAGAGCACCTTGCTTTTGCAAAATCGAGTTCCCAAGGTGCGCAAGCAGCACGGGTAGGGAATGCTAACTGATTACTTCTCCAGGGTGGGGACTGTGGGAGATTCCACTTTCCAAAGACACCCAGCCCGATCCGTGTTCCGTTCCCGGCCCTTCTCACACCGCCACGCTCCTCTGCCCCTCCTCCCCTTGACCTTGGGAGACCTCCTGAGCTGTACCGAACAGCAGAATGTGGCAGAAGGGATGACTCATGTCTCCCGTATCTCTGCCTCGCACTCTCTCATTCTCTGGGGACCCGGCCACCGTGTGGTCAGAAAGTCCAGGCCATATGGGGAAGTCGCGTGTGGCTGAGGCTTCTGATGTTTTGTTGCTGGAGGACCTGACCGAGCATGGGGGGACTGCCCCCCCCCCAGGGTCAGCTGATCCCTAGGGATGTACATAGTTCGCCTGTGAGCTTGCCTTCCACACGCCCGCCCGCCCATCTGGACACCAGCAGCCCACCTCCTCTGCTGGGGGGTGGGGGGCTCTTATACTCCAGGCCACTCGCCCCTGCCCTCATCACCCCAGAACCAAGTGGCACGAAACTGAGAACAGCGCCTGCACCCCAGAGACCTTGACATCACCCAGACCAGCCAGCCCCAAGCCTGCTCACCATGCCTCACCTGTGCCTTCCCTCGGCGACTGCAATAACATGCTTGTTCCCATGTCCCCCAGCCCCCTCTCCTCCCGAAGCTTCCCTGAGCCAGCGGCCCTGTGTGGCACCTGTGGCACTTCTCGTTGCCTGAGCTGCGGGCCCTGTCATAGCAGAAGTCATACCTGAATAGTCATAAAATCTACATTTTTTAAAGACTTTATTTATTTATTTTTAGAGAAAGGGAGGAAGAAAGAGAAGGAGGGAAACATCAATGTGTGGTTGCCTCTCACACGCCCCCTACTGGTAACCTGGCCCACAACCCAGGCATGTGCCCTGAATGGGAATCGAACCAGTGACCCTTTGCTTCCAAAGCCAGCACTCAATCCACTGAGCCACACCAGCCAGGGCTAAAATATGCATTTTAAGAGTATTTGGCCAGCTTCGCCAGCGAGGGTGTGAGTCAGCTGCCAGCGTCCGCCCCCAGACCCTGGAGCACACGACCCTCCTTTAGTCCTCCGGCAGAGGACCGGACCCCAAATTCCTGACGGGCAGAAGCCACGAGCGGCGTAGGGTGCTGTGTGACGCCCCGTAGTTTAGAGTCACTTCTTACACAGCTACCCCAGCGTTGTTCACTTACGTGGGCTTCTCGAGATAGTCCGGGTTCTCTGAAGTGAACAGAGGTTGGTTTGGGGGAAGAGAGTTGACAACTGTTGTTTTTAAAAAGACAGCTGGGCAAGAGTGAGGCCTCTCAAAGTTCTGTTTATTGAAGTTCTCTCTAGTCCGGCGGAGACAGTACCGTGTGCCGGCAGGGTTATTCTCCATACAAATGTTTACCAAAGGCTGTGTTAATAGTACAAAACAGCAACTTCACAAACACAGGAAGGGTCCAACGCCAGCAGGACACTTTCGAAAAGCCATACCCCCATGCCCTCGTCAGGCACTGGAGACACGGCAGGTCTATAACAGTGAGTGAGTATCAAAGACGATGGGACCCCCTGTGTCCCCCAGGGAAGGCCTTCCCGGGCAGCAGGAGGCCGCCCCTGCAGACTCGGGCGGACCCCGGGACCCCTGGCGGGGGGGGGGGCAGGACTGGCGGCCACTCGTTCAGACTCAGAGGCTGGAATCTGACATTTGTCACAGGCAGAGCCACCACCCCCAAACCGGGGCCGCTCCGTCCCTCCCGCCCTCTCAGCTGGCCCGAGCTGACGCCCACACGCACCCGTCGTGCCGCCACCCGAACGGCGCCCGGCAGAACCATCCCGCCCCCAGCCCCCCGGAGCTCGGGGCCATCACCAAGCCGAGAGACTCAGAAAGACCTCATGCTCCCCAGCGGGGCTCTGTGTCAGCAGGGGCTCTGCATTTCCCTCTCCCGAGCTGTCCGCCCAGGGCTTCAGGGCACCCGGGCTCCCAAGGACGGCACCGTGCGGCCCCTCGCCAGCCCGCAGGCACTGAGCCCCCGGTGCCGGTGTCCGGGGCTGTCCAGGAGAGTCCCCGAGAGAGTGGTTCCCAGAGCAGAGGGCGCAGACCCACCCGTGGGTCTGAACATCAGTTTAGGGGCTGCAACCAGCAACTTGCAAAGCCAACATGGGGCGGGGCAGGACAAGAGCGGGCCGGTGGGTGGGGTTGGCGGGTGGGGCCGGCGGGTGGGGCCGGCAGAGTCTCGCCCGGCGGTGGGCAGCAGGGCCTCTCTCGCGATGGCTGCGTAAACCGGAGTCACAGTGTATGTGGCGGCTACGGATCAGAAAAGCTCGGAAAACACTGACGTCTGGGGATAAACGGAGGAGGGCAGCAGACCCCCGCCCTGGAGCCTGGGCCCGGGTGACAGGGTGGGCAGGTCCCAGGGCACCCATGCAGGCTGCCGGGTGGCAGCTGGGAGGGGGCCCCACCCCCCCAACCCACAACGAGGGTGAAAGTCGGTTGGAAAGCCCGTCGAGAAGCCAAGTTTGCCGAGACCTGTACCAGAGGAGGAGGGCGTGTGGGCAGGGGCCACGCAGACCTGAAGTTGTCCGTCATGGCCATGCCTGGCCCTGCGGGCCCCGAATCCTCACCCCACAATGTCACGTGGAGAAAAACAACCACTTCCCTTTGTTCAGACCCACACTCCTTTTCTAAATGCCACCTTATTAAGGTATCCGAACACCCCTTCGCCCTGCAGGTGCGGGCGGGAAAGCTGTCTGTATGAATACGGTCACCCCGCGGGACAGGCCTGCGGCCTTCTCCCTGCCCAGCCAGCCCCACCGACAAAGGGCGCCCCAGCGCTCAGGGCCCAAGGGCGGCTGGGAGGCAGGAGGCTTTGGGCACAAATGTGCTTGCCCCCCCCCGAAAGAGAGTCCATCCCTGGCCAGTTCCCTGGGTGACCTGCCCAAAGGCGGCCGCAGAGAACACCAGCGGTGTCAGCCTCAGGCTTCTCAGGAGACGTGGGGTTGCTGACGTCGGGAGCCATGAGGCCCCAAGAGGACATTAAGGAGATGCCATCCCCTGCTGCCCCCGAGCTGAGCTCTGGGGGAGCAGGACAGCCCGGGGCCGTGGGAGGAGCAAGGGTGTGGCACCCCAGGACTGTGACTCGGACCCCAGGCCCTGCCCTGCGCCTCTGGATGACTCCAAGCAAGTCCCTCACTTCGTCTCCTTGAGCCGTCTCCTCTCCCACGTAACACGGACACGATCGTTCCATCTTGCAGGTGTCGCGGGAGAAACACGAGAACATGGACGTGGGCATGCACACGCCCGTGACTGTGCACACCCACCCCCCTGCCTGCCACGCTGATGGACAGGGCCAGGTCCCGTCATCGCAAAGGCCCACGGCCACACCTCCCTGGTCCACCAGGCCAACCAGACTGCCTGCGGAGCAGGCCCCTGGCTCACGCCTCACAGCTGGGGTTCGCTGCTCTGAGACTTCCAGATACACCCGCTCCTTGGCGCAACCCGGGTGCCCCCAGGGCCAAGGGGCCATTGTCAGCAGTGATCCGCCCAGTGACGGCAGGCGAAACAGTGGCACGGACAGTTGACTGCTTTCTTTGTGCAGCCTCAAGAAATTGCATGAACTTTGGGGAAAAAATTACATCAAAAAATTCTCGTCACAAATACCCAGTGAGATGTGTACCTCCTGGGCGGAAAGTCTGGTTCAGTAAACCGCGGTGCTTCCGCTCAACGCAGATTTGAAAAACGATGCTCGCACAGGGCCGGGGGCACCGAGGGCAAGTGCGTGAACCGTAGAAAGAAAGGGACGTAAGAGTGTCCACGGGCTGGTGCAGGCCACGGCCAGGGTGGCTGTAGACCTGCCCATCCAGGCCGGCTTGCAGTTCCCGTCTCTGCGTCCCCACCCCCGCCCCAAGCTTTCCTAGGGCTCCGCAACCCTATCCTCACCCCCAGGCTGCTGGGGAGAAGGGTGCCAGCCCCTCTCCCGCCATCCGCACAATTTCCCGTAGAAAGGCAGCTCAGCTCCATGGCAGGGGGTTAGATCCCTCCCAGGACAGCCCCAGGCAAGCTCCGGCTCGCCCAGACCCTCAGCAAGGGACTGATGAAGCGTCAGCCGTCAACTCCCAGCCTGTCCAGCCGCACAGCGCACAGCGGGCGCTGGGAGATGCGATGCTGGGGTGTGAGCCTGCTGGGTGGGCCCTGCCCTCACCTGCCCTCACCTGCCCTCACCGTCACCTCCAACCTCTCACCTGCCCCTACCTCCCATGCTGCCCCACCTACCCCAGGAGCAGTCGCCCAAGTGCCCAGGGTGTCACACAGACCAGTCCGCTGCCAACTGCCCCACCCCCCGCCCTGCTTCCTGGGGGCCTGACAGCGCTTTGTTGGGACGCCCCAGCACGTGACAGCCCCAGGACTGACAGAAAGAGGAAGGTGGCATCTGAACGCCCAGTGCCGCGCCCTCTCCACCCCACACGCCCAGCCTGCAGCCTGGAACGCTCCTGAGCGGGGCTTTGAAGGGTGAACAGGAGCTGGGTGGTTGAGGGGGCGAGCCAGCCCCTCCTCAGAGGGTTCAGGGGCATAAAGGGGGACCTTAGGGAAAATGCCAGATCAGAGGCCCAGAAGAGGGGGCACGACAGATGTGGCCACTAGGGAAGTCGCAGGTCGGTGTCCCAAGCAAGCAAGTGGCGGGACTGTCACCGCAGCCCGACAGGGTGCCACGCCTTGGGAGGTCTCCTAAACGTCATCCCAGGGACCACGGCCATGCAGGCCTGAGGCCTAGAGGTCGAGTCACAGTGTCCCTGCCCCGGCCTGCCACCCCCCGGCTTCCCCTCCCCCCTCTCCAACCGCGACCCCACTGACGGGAAATCCTTGCTGAGCACTGCAGGGCGGGTGGACCGAATGAAGGCAGCTCCAGGGGCTGGGCGTGGCAGTGTGGCTGCGTGTGTAAACACATGTGTACAAATGTACACACACACCTGGGTGAGGAGAACAAACTTATCCCCCAAGCCTCTGCCCACTCAGGACCCGCCTGTCTGTGGACTGGGCCAGGTGATTTCATACTGGCTGGATGCATGGGATTGAGAGGCCGTGGCCCTGAAACGCCCTGGAATGTTCCAGAACTAGGCATAAGGCATCCTGTCTCTGCCCACCCGGCTCTCACTGGGAGCCGTAGCCTGAGGCTCCTCTGACCTGACACAGATCCTTGATCCGGGGGGACTGAGGTTCCGGCTCAGATCTGGCGCTGGGCCTGGGCCTCCCCGGGGCACGCCCGTGTGCCGGGCACAGAGGGCCGGCTCCGCCCCGGCCTGCTGCAGGGGCTCCCAGGGGCTCCAGGGGGCTCCAGGGGGCTCCAGGGGGCGGGGCGCCGCAGACGCTCACCGGGTCCCGTCAGGTGAGTCAGGTGAGCGAGGCCCCCCTCCCGCAGGGCCGCCCAGGGCACCGAGCGCGAGTCTGATGCCGTCATCGCCGACCCTGAGCCTGGGGCAGGCAGGCGAGCGAGCTCCCGGGATGTGCTCGCCCCACGCATACGGGGCTCCCGGCGTTTCCCTGGATCTTTTCGGCACGAGAAGAAATGGCCAAGGAACAGCTTCTCGTCCCCCAACTGCTGCCTCCTCTGGACCAAGGACCAGAGCCGGTCAGGGGCTGCTCAGGGTGCGCACCTGCCGTCCCTCCCGGCCCCCACTCCGCCCCCTCGGGAGCTTCCGGAAAGGAACGAGAGGGAGTGAAGACAAGCACGCCCACGCACGGGGACAGGCACCTGGCCTGGGCAGTGGTGCCGTCGTGAGTACCCAGTCGACTGGTCATGTCTGCCCAGAGCACCGGGCCGAGAATTCTGACGCCGCCCATGCTGCAGTTGATTGGTGATGTCTGCCACGGCCACAGCCCTCCACCATCCCTGATCTACACACCGGGTGACTGTCCCCGAACAGGGGCATGTTCCCCAGCCGGGACTTTGGTAGCAGCGAAGGAGGCCCTGGCCAGCCGGCAGAAACAACCCCCCGGGCTCCTTGCTCGGTTTCTCGGGACCGTGAGACGCACGTACCGGCCCGTCATGGCCCAATTTGCAGGACAACGCCTGCACCCTTCCCTGACGATGTTAATAATGCCCATTGTGTTAGGAGACACTGTCTAGAATAGAACTGCATTACAGGGTTAATTTCTCCTCTGCAGCTGTGACTAAACGCTGTCTTTCTCACCTAGGACCCAAGGGACGGCGTGGCTGTCACCAGAAGTAACCTTGGACCCAGCCAAAGCTCTCCCCGGGGGAGGGCAGGCGGGCCTGGGCCCTGCGCTCTGGGCCAAAGTTCGCAGAAACACTTCCCAGGATGCTCTGCTCCAAAAGCCCAAGTGTCCCGTGCAGTCCGGGCCGCCTCACGTGGACACCTGGGCCTGCAGGGTGCTGGGCAGGTAGAGGTACCTCCAGATGGCATAGTAGTGGGTGCCAGCACCGAATGCCACGAAGAGATGCCAGATGGCGTGGGCGAAGGGGATCCTGCCGTCGCTCTTGAAGAACACCGTGCCCAGGCCGTAGAGGGCCCCTCCGGCCACCAGCTCCCAGACGCCCTCCGTGTTGGGCTGTCGGCAAGGACAAGGGTGGGGCACAGGTCGGAGGAGCAGGCAGCAGGGTCGGGAGCTCCCGGCCTCCCCCACCCCCACTCCACACGAAAAGCCAGCCCAGGGTCCTGGGTCAGGGCGTCTCCACCCCGTGGAGTCACCCCATCTCCCCAAGTCGCTTCTCACGTGGAACGGGTTTCCACCAGACTCTCAAGGGATGCTTTATCACTCTTTGTCTTCTCTAAAAGGTAAAGCCCCAGAGAAGCGAAAGCAGGGCGTGAAACGAATCCTACATCCAGGCCTAAGACCGCCCAGGGCGGAAGCGGCCCCAGGGCCTTGGACGGATGAAGGGGTGTCAGTCCGGTCACTTCAGGCAACGAAGCGTCACTCGGCGTTAGAGGGGGAAGATGCTGAGCCTGGGGGACACGGCTCAGCGAAACAGTCAGCCACCAAAGGACCGGTGCCGCGTGACTCACTCGCACGAGGTCCCGAGAGGAGCCCCGTTCACAGAGCCGGGAGGGAGCACAGGGGCTCCCAGGGCGGAGGGCGGGGCGGGGAGCGCGTGTGTCGGGGGGACACAGTCTCCGTCGTCGGGGAGGATGCGGGTTCCGGAGCTGGCGGTGGGGACGGCTGCCCGGCAGGGCGAGCGCGCCGAGTGCCCCTGCACCGGACCCTCAAACACAGTTGAAATCATAAATGTCTATTTTATCACGATTTTTGAAAAGGCATACATGCCCATGGCAGAAAGTTTGAGAGAAAACAAACAAAAAAAACGTAAGCAAAAAGAAGGCGCCCTGGCCCTCCGAGGTGAGCACCCTTGGCGCCTGAGTCACCGCGTCCATTTGACAGATGGGCCTACTGAGGCTCAGGGAGGAGAGGCCCTCGGGGCCGCCCGCCTATTCTACTGCCGCCTCGGGCGGGTCACACGGACACACGGGGCCTCCGTTTCCCCTTCTCCCACACGAGAGGGTTGTACTTGACATTCTCCAGAGTCAGGCCAGGTCCTCTCCCCGCAGAGGGGAGGCCCCAGCCGCGTGGGCGGGACTTACCATGGACAGGATGACCAGGGCGGGGAAGAAGCCCATGACGACATAGCACAGCAGCTCCACGAGCTTGTACCTGGCGCGGAGAGAAGCCCCCTCAGTCTCGGCACAGCCCCCCCCCCCCGGCCTGCTGGCAGGGCTAGGACAGGTCCCTTTCCCTCTCTGAGACTCGGCTTCCGCGTCCGTGAAACGACACTCATGGACGACACTGGAAATGCGGGCACAGCGAGCGTGTGGGCACCGCCGGCGCTCAAGCCGGAGCAGACACAGCTATCCGGTCCCGGCACCCTCGCCCACAGGACCACGCCCCCCGCCCCAGGGACCCGAGCGGCTGCAGCGGCTGACACCTCCTGCCTCCCCGGAGGTTCGGCAGTCTGTCACTGCTCTCGCCTCTGCAACCCTGTTCATGTCCCCGCTTAATCACTCCCATCATGCCCCTGGGCAGGCGGGGAGTCTGCGGAGTCCAGAGGGCTCAGAGTCGCTCGCTCCTCTGTGCCTGCCGACACGGCTTAGGGAAGGCAGGTCACTCGTGACACCGTTCCTGGGGTCCAGGGACCTGTAGTGTCTTGTAAAAAACAACTTCAAACTGACCCTGTGGGCTGTGGCCCTGGTTGTCACCCACTAGGACGCCGGGCAGAGCCGTGCCCTCATGCCTCTGGGGTCACCTGGGGTCTCCTGTCCCGCCGAGGGCGGCCCTGCCGCCGGAGTCCCCCACCCCCCACGCTCTGTCTTACCGCTCGTGGAAGAAGAAAACATAGACGGTGCCCACGGAGGCCATGATCCAGACCAGCCAGCGCATGTGGGAGGCCCAGGGGCCCAGCTCCCGCAGGTTCAGCCTGGGGAGAGCCGAGGGCACAGTTTGAGGGGTCACGGGGCCTTGCTCGCCCTGCAGAGCCGGGGCGGGAGTGGGGGCGGTCCCGCCCCCTGAAGCTGACCCCAGAGCAGATCCCTCCGCCGCGGCTGCCGGGGCGCAACAGGGGATCCCGCGGAAAGACGTGTGCAGAGACGAGAGAAAGTAGCACAAGGAGCAAGTATTAGAGGAAAATTAGCCAAACGGGCACCCAGCGCAAAGCGGGAGGGCACACGGGGCCAGCCGGTGTCTGAACGGGGAGCCTGTTGGGCCCCGGACGTGTGCATAGCCCGTGACCCCGCCGGGCCGGCTGCAGGGTCCAGCCGGGGCCAGCCATTTCGTGCCCACACGGGCCCCGCTCTTGCGACCTGCTGCTATAATGACCTTCTCTACAAGTCAAGATATCATGCAGGAAGCTTTTGTGTACGTCCAACCTGTCAAAACTAAAAATAAAAACAAAAAAATGGGGTTTTCTCATTGAGGAAGAGACAGGGGAGCCCAGACGCCCCGCCCCCCGCTGGGTGGTCCCCAGGACCCTCCCGAGTTCTGCAGAAAACAGCTGAAAACCCAGAGCAATCCAACAAGAAATAGTTCTGCCCTGCCTGTCCCCTTTTCACCAGGCCCTGGGGGTGTCCAACTAGGAAGCCGGTCCCCACAGAGCACCTCGGTCTCTCTCTCACCGCCCGCCATCCAGTCAGCCCCAAGTTCTGCTGAGCCGTCCTCCTGAGCAACTCACACACCAGACACACGTCCCCACCTTGGCCTTCTGCGCCAGTGTTGGCTGTGAGACCCGACGTCCCAGAAGGAGTGACGGCCGTATCCTCGGCCACCAGCAGAGGGCAGCACAGAGCCGCTGCTCCGTGGCCACAGCCGGGGATGCAGAACAGAAACCCAGACATTATTAAAATATCAGCCAAGGGGAGGATGGTCAAGATTCCTCTAGAAATCCCTGTCGCGGCCGCCGAGGCGGAGCACAAAACCCAGCTTGACTCTCCCCGTCAACATCCACAAAGCACCCGAGGTTACCTGGCTCCTGACACCTGCAGCTGCCGCCTCATGAGCTCCGGGCCATGGAGAAGCAGTGGGTGGGCCGGCCGAGCCCCTCCGGTGGCCTCCGCCTCTCGCCTCTGCTCCCGGCTCGCTCCGGGGCCTCCCGGACCCCCACCCAAGCTGCTCCCTCACCCAGGACCTTCTAGACTTCTAGAAGGCTCCATCTGCCTGCCTCCCTGGCGCCCAGCCGCCTGGAACAGGAGAATTGTCGGGAGAGAAGCAAGTCCCGTCCTCCTGAAGCCCAGGCTGGGCCAGTCGGCTGATGCCTCCGGGCAGACAGACAGACAGACGGCCAGCAGGACCGACTTCCCAGCACCCCTAACAGTCGCTAGTTTCCTGGTGAAGGTCGGCACTTCCCAGGGCCCCTGCTGCCCCCCCCTCGTCCCTCTCCCCACCCTTCCATCAGTCATCAGGGACCACCAGGTTTCCAGAAACATCCATCCACCCGTGCCTCCTCTCCTGTCGGCCTCCGCGGCCACTACCGGGGGCCAGGCCCCACCACGTCTCTCCCGGGGCCCTTGTCCAGCCTCCTGTGCCCCTCCCTGCCCCCAAGGCTGCCACCGGCTCCTGCAACACGGCTCCGAGAGCCTCCCCAGACAGCGTGTGAGCGCAGCAGCACCCGAAAGAAGGGTGACTCCGTTACTACGAAGGTCAAAGTCGGGCGAAGCCACCCTGTGAAGACGGACGTCAGGACTGTGGGGGGTCCTGGTGACTGGGGAGGGGGACGCAGGGCACAAGGGGGCCGCTCCGTGTCCCCGTCTGGGTGCCAGCTGCAGGGTGGGGAACGTCACTGAGACCTGCGCTCACGGCCACCTGTTCTCCCGAGAAGGTGCGCCCACCTAAAACGTGTTTGAAAACCATCACCTTCGAAATGGTGATGGGAAAAAAATACAATTAAAAACAAGTTTGGCCCTGACAGGTGTGGCTCCGTGGATTGAGCGCTGGCCTGCACACCAAAGGGTCGCCAGTTCAATTCCCAGTCAGGGCACAGGCCTGGGTTGTGAGCGGGGTCCTTGGGGGCGCGTGAGAGGTAACCACACATGGATGTTTCTCTCTTCCTCCCTCCCCCTCTCTCTAAAAATAAAGACAATTTTTTTATTTTTTTAATTAAAAATATATATAAACCATAAAAAAAATTGCCTTCGTATACACAAGAAAAACCTGTTAGCTGATAGAATGAAGCAGAGGCCCCACTTAGAGTAGCCAAAAAGAGATTCCCTGGGCAAAAGCGGAGCCAGCCTTTCTGGGGCTCCCCACGCCTCAGAGGCACACCCCCTCCAGGCAGCCCTCCAGAGGCCCCCACGCCAGGGCTGTGCCCTCTGAGCTCCGCACACAGGTCCGCCACGCCACGCCGTCACCGGCCTGTCACAGATCCTCGTCCGCCGACAGAACCTCCGTGTGCCGACCCCCAGCGCTGCCCGGCCACGCGGCACACGGTCGACAGAAGCAAGCGGCAAGGCCCTTCCCCCCCTGCAGAGGCTCCGTGGGCTCCCAGGCTCTCAGCGCGTGACCCGGAGCTTGGCACTTCCCTGTTCCAGAACTTTCGATAACCCTGAGTGGCTTGCTGGGGGATTTAACCTGGCACAACTTGTGGAGGGTGATCTGGCAAAACCGTTCACCACGACCCAGCCACCCGGAGGCCCACGAGGTCTCAGAAGTTATCCCACAAAGGTCAGCCTCATCGGCCCAAGGCTGCCGTTCCCGCAGGGCACACACAGGTCGCCCCTCAGCCGTCTCGTCGGACTCCGGCCCACCGACCCGCACATGGGGGCCAGCAAGCACGGCTCTGTCTGCAGCGGCGGAGGAGCGGGGTCCCCCGACGCCGCCCGCACCCGCAGACACGGCGTGGCCGGAGAACACCCCGCTGCTGTCAGCAGGAACGAAGAAATCTCCGACACGCTACCGTGGGAAGATGCCCCAGCTGCGTCCCTCAGAGGACAGGGGCGGACGGGGACGGACGGCGCCCTTCCTGCCGCCCTGATGCGGGAGGGAAGTGGCCCTCGCACGCACTCGCTGTCCGTGTGCGTGTGTGCATGGGCGTGCGTGCCCCGTGCACAGAGATATTCCCACATGTTCGTGATTCCACCCACGCGCTCTCACGCACAAAATAACTCCGGGCAAGCACAAGAGACCAGCGCCGAGTGCCGGGCGAGGGCGGCCCCGACCCTCCCTCTTCCACGCGGAGCCGGCGGTTTGCCGGCCGAACGCGAGGGGCAGTTCCAACAAGAGAAAGGAAGAGGCCGGCCCGGGCGGGGGCCGCGGGGCGCTCACCAGGGCGCGTAGGAGGCCGCTATGAAGAAGTAGATGGTCATCCGGTCACACATGTGCAGGCAGTGCTCCACCATCCTGGGGCAGAGGGGTGGCGTCACGCGGCCGGCCGGCATGGCGGGGGCCCCTCCATCCAGCCTCCACCCCTGGGGCCTCAGTCTCCCGTCTCTGAGTGACCAGAGCTGTGGCTCTCAAACCAGGCTCTCTGCCCCCCGAGGGGCTACACAGAGATGCCTGGGGGTCCCACCCAGGAACCTCCTCTCCTCCCCTCCGCATTTCTCTTTCAGATACTGGGCTTCTCAGCAGATTTCAAATGGTGAGAAAATTCTGTGGCTAACAAAAAAGTACAAAAACTGCCCTGGCTGGCGTAGCTCAGTGGATTGAGTGCGGGCTGCGAACCAAAGTGTCGCAGGTTCGATCCCCAGTCAGGGCACATGCCTGGGTTGCAGGCCATGGCCCCCAGTAACTGTACACTGATGTTTCTCTCTCTCTCTCTTTCTCCCTCCCTTCCCTCTCTAAAAATAAATAAATAAAATCTTGAAAAAAGTACAAAAACTACCCAGCTATGTGCCCCCCTAAAAATCCTCCAGAGTCTGGCATTGTGGTTTCACGTCCAGGCTCTGGAGCCAGGAGGCCTGAGTTCGAATCCCAGCCCCAGCTGGGCTGGGTAAAGGGACTATGGCCTCGGCCTCGTCCCCTCCCCTCTCCGGGCTCCGCCCCCTCTGCTGTAAACAGGGAGGTGGTCAGCGAGGCTCCCCAAGCTGCTGCGAGGGCTGAGTGAGCTAGAGCCCAGCCAGCGCAGGGCAGGAAGCGCTGGGCATCCTCAGCATCCGACGGCCCCGCTCGGCCCCGGTCCCCCCACGTGCGCACCACGTGCCCCACCCCCGAGGGCCGGGCGGCCAGTACCTGAGGTGGCTCTTCTTCCAGGCGACCGTGTGGAACACGGTGGACACCACGAACAGCCCGCAGAGGCCGAGGCCGTAAATCCAGGCAGAAATGGTCTCCCAGCTGTCGTCCGACAGGAAGTAGAGGTTGGAGCTGCCGAGGATGCTGGGGATGATCCACAGCTGCAAGCGGAGGGGGCAGGGGCCGGCTGCCTGCGGCTCGGGGTCCAGGGCGGCGCGGAGCCCTGCCTGGACCCCAGACCCGCACCGGTCGGCCCGCCCCCGGGGGACTGTCCTCACAACCTGCGCTGTCCCGTTTGGGAGCCGCCGGGCACGTGCGGCTACTGAGCCCTGGAACTGTGCTTTGTGCCGCTAAGGAGAGGAGTTTTTACTTCGTTTGCATTGATTTCAGTGTCCGTGTCAACGGCCACCCCGAGGCCAGGGGCTCCCATAGCGGGCAGCGTGGGTGGAGGGCAGCCGAGAGCCAAGACTGCCTGCTTCAAGGAGCAAGTCTGACCGCTGCCTCCCACCCCGTGTCCCCCGAGACCCTGGCCTGGAGGCCCCCCCGGGCACACCGCGCTGCCTCGGGCCTCTACGCTGCCACCCGTGCGGTCCCTCCGGAGAAAACGTCCCCCCACCTTGTCTGCAGGGCAAACCCCTCCGTCTTCCCATCTGGGCTTGGCTGTCGTTCCCATGGGAAGTCCCAGCCGTCCCCAGAGCAGGGCGCCACGCTCAGAGCCGCCGCCGCTCGCTCTCCCGACGGCCCCCCCCAAGGCTGAGGAGCCAGCAAAGAGGCTGCTGCCCCCACCCACCCCCTGCCTGGACCTGGCCGTGCACCACCCCCAGCCCTCAGCCCCCAGGAGTGGACTCACGGCGTGGGTGGCGCAGTTGGCCGCATGCTCGTACTCCGTGGGCTGGTACCTCTTGTGGGCGGGGACCCGGTGGTTCATGAACCTGGAGGGAGAGGCGCCCTTCCTGGGGGCTCGGCCAGGAGGCCCGAAGACCCGGCTGACCCCTAGCAAGGGAAGAGAGGGACCCCGCTCCCCTCCCACCCCCTCCCGCCGGCCGCCACCTCCTTCCCCGCTCTCTCTCTCTCTCTCTCTCTCTCTCTCTGTTACGTTTCCTTGTGCTCGCCCATCTCTTCTGCCTGACCCCCAGCGCACTTTGCTAAACACGGGGGCCCCCTGCACTCTCTTCATTCCCTGTTCGAGTTTTCTTCACCGCGACCGGCTTGCAGTGCCGCTGCCGGGGCACAGCCGGATGGGTTCCCACACATGCACACTGCACCCAGGAGGGGCCGCCCCTCACCCTTCCGCCCTCCCCCGGGGGAGCCTTCCCCCAGGGAAACCAGCCCCCCACCCTGTCATCATGGATTAGAGGTTCTCGAGCTTCCTTTCAGTGGGAACTGAAACACCAAAAATTTTCTCCCAAGACCCCAATTATTACTATGAAGACCCACAAAAATGAGAAATGAGCACACGGCTCAGAACACAGGGCTCCATGCAGGGCAGTGCACGGAGCATTTATTGAGCTCTTTCTGTATGCTGTGTCCATGCAGTACAGTGCATGGCGCATTTATTGAGCACCTTCTGTATGTTGTGTCCATGCAGTACAGTGCATAGAGCATTTATTGAGTACCTTCTGCATGTTGTGTTGATGCAGGACAGTGCACGGAGCATTTATTAGGCACCTTCTGTGTGCTGGTGTCACGTTAGTACGGTTGACTGAAAGTTTGTTGAGCATTTTCTGCACCCTCTCGGGAACATTCGCTGAGCACCCACCGTGTGCTGGGTGGCAGTGGGTTCTCTGGGAGTCCAGAGGAAGGACAGACAGTGGTGCTCCTTCGCCCTCAGGGTCCACATGCCATGCGGAGGCAGAGTAAACGCTGGGCTTATGGTCACAGAGGAAGGGGAGGGCCCATCCCCGGGAGGGGGGGGCCAGTGGAAACACAGCCGCCCCAGCGCCCAGGACAACCTGCCCGCCAGCCCGCCCTCCTCACGAGCGGCCCCGGGGAAGCTGGCGGTGGTCCCGGCTGACTCACTCAATACCATGCACTGACAGCAAAGACAGGTGCTGGCTGGATGGCGTCCCCTGAAATCCTGGTGTCGGAATCCGAACCCCCAGAACCCGAGCGCGTGAGCTTATGTGGGAACAGAGTTGTTCCCAGGGGTGTGGCTCATGAGGCTGAGGTCCCACTGCAGGGGGTGGGTGCGCCCCGGTCCAGCAGGACTGGGGTCCGAGTAAGGAGAGGGGAGACGCAGAGCAGAGAGACCGCGTGCCGAGGGAGGCCCAGCCTGGAGCGATCCGTTCACAAGCCAAGGAGCACCGGGCGAGGCCAGCCGCCGCCAGGGCCGGGACGGGCCGGGGGGACGCTCCCTCTGAGCCTCGGAAGCAGCCAGCCCTGCCGGCACCTGCACCATCTGGCCCCCGGACTGTGAGAGGGTCGCTCTCTGTGGTTTTAAGCCACTACGTGTGTGTGGCCATTTGTCACCGCAGCCCTAGAGACACTGACACAGGTGCACACAGGGTTCATTGGGGCCCACTCTGCCCCGGAGCCCCCAGGGCACTGTGCCAACCTGCGCCCTCTCTGTGGGGACAGGCTAGGGCCCTTGTCCAGGGTGGGAGATGGGTCTCACGCATCACCAGGCGCAGACTGGCTGTCCCCTCTCCTGCTGGCTCTTTAACAAGCACCATGAAAGCCACCCACCGTGCCAGCCACGCGGGTCCGAGGGTGATGTCACGGTTGCCGTGGCGACCCAGAATGGGCAGTTATTCATTTATTTCTGGGCTCCACAAAACTTTCCTTGTCCCCCCACCCCCGCCCCTCCCCGGGCAGTGGCAGGTATTGAATGTCCAGCAGTGACAAAGGCAGGCGAGGGAAAGCCAGGGGTGGTGGGGGGGAGTCGGGGACAGGGCCCGGGGGGGGGGCCGGGGCAAACGCCCAAGAAACCCAGTTCCCACAACCTGCGAGAACCAAGCACTTCCCCTCCATGGCCTGCAGCCCGATTCTTTCTCCTCCGAGAACCCCTGGGCGGCCTTTTAAAAGGACAGTGAAGCAATTTGTGTTTTCCCTTCCTTTTAATTAACATAAGTAAACGTTCTCTTTTTCTGCTATAGTTTTATGAGTTTTGCTAAACGTAGAGACTTGAGTAACCCTCCCCACAGCCAAGACAAATAGCAGATCCTTCGCCCCCCACACCCGCCCCCACAGCTCTGTCCTCTGTCCCCGCGGCCCTGCTTCCTCCAGAAGGTCACTTAGGAGGACACGGAGCCTTACAGGAGTCCCAAGCCTGTGCTTTTGATGTCTAAAGAGAATTTCTTGCCTATGGGCCAAGTGTGTGCTCAGGCGAAAGGAACTCCGCCTTGAACGCCGCCACACGGGGATGTTCTTATTTTCCTTCTCAGAACGTGCTGAAGACACACTTGTTTCACACGACAAGAAAACGGACCTTCCTCAGGGCAGCATGCCCAGCTCCAGCAGCGGCTCTGGACCTTTCCGTCCTCTTTTATTTTCTCGCTTTCCCTCGCGGCCCTCTCTCTGCGTTTGCCTTCTTGCACGCAGCTCCCCACCCGCCCGTGAGATCCACCGAGCTCTGTCAGCGGCGCCTGCCTTCCCCTCGTGAGAACAGTCCGCTCTCGGACCTGCGAGGCCTGCGCGTCCGTTCCCCCGCGGAGGGACGATGGGGGGCCCTTTTCACCGGCTGAAACGCACAGATAAAACTCAGAATGTTCGAAACTCAGAACGCCCTCCGAGGGTGTGGGGAATGTCTCCCAGCCGAGTGGACATTTCCAGCAGGCCACGGCTGGTCACACGTAAGGAGGGACACGGCCCTCTCCGCCCCTCTCTGGAGAACAGAGCCCCCGCCTGTGGTCAGCCTTCGCTTCTTAGGTGACCACGTGGCCTCGGCCTGTGACGGGTGGAAGGGCAACTCTGCGCAGCGGGGTCCAAACTCAGCCGGGCCCCGGAGCCAGATGCCGGCAGGGGGGCGAGGACAGAAGGTCAATGCCCGTCCTGAACTGGAGAGGCGGGGGCTCCGGGGCCAGGCACAGCTGGCTGAGCTGCTGTGTGACCCACGGGAACTTACTGTGAGTCTCTGGGCTGCAGTGTCTTTCTTTGTCAAGGAAGTAATGTTACCTCGCCTGCAGGCGGCATGAAACAAGCCCACACGGGTGCCTGACACCCAACAGTGCTCAAAGGTTGGGAGCTTTTTCACCACTCCCTGGGGGCTCCCCGAAAGAGCCCGAGCACCACATGCTTCCCGGCGTGTGCCCCCTCGGGGCGAGTCATGGAGGACATCCATTTAAAGCCCTTGCAAAGTGGACGTTGTCTCTCCAAGTTGAAGATCAGGCTCCAGGGGCAGATGCCCACGGTTCTCCATCTCGGTGGCACATTAAGAATCACGTGGAAAACAGACAGACGGGCTGACAGAACGTGGTCCATCCGCACAACACGACGTCACGTGTGCAGGCTGCCGGGCTCAGCGGGGGCAGCAAACAGGACCCCGCTTGCGTGGCACCCGACAGGGTGGCCGAGGCTGTGACCTGCAGGGCCGGGTTGCCAAGGGGCCAGTGCGTGCATGACCCCGGGCCCGTCGGGAAGGAGTGGGCGGCAGGCGAGCCCCAACTTCAGAGGCCCCCCCTACACCACCACCACCTCCTGGAACCCCGTGACGGCGCTCCACACCGGGTGGGGCCGAAAGCAGGACGGTCGTTTCACTCAGCGGTTCCGGAGTGGGGCCACGCGCTGGGAGGTGGTGTCGGGGAGGCGCCCACCCAGACCCTCTGACTCTGGGGCCACCGTCCCAGGGCACCCAAGAACCCTGTGGCCCTGTCCGTGGTTCTGACGGGAGAGGGGCTGCTGTCTGTCCTTACACTCCAGGACAAGGCGTATCCGGGCACCCTCCCCAGGGTGGCTGTGCATTTGATGGCCAAGGAAGGGAAGGGACAGCCCTCTGTCCCCGCTCCTGGACTCACTGCCTCATGGGCCAGTGGTCCGTGCAGCCCATGGCCCCCCGGCCCCGGCACCCCGCCTTTGCCGGGCCCTCCCACCCGGGCAAGCCCGCACCAGACTCCCAGGCCTCGTGGGCAGAGGTGAAACCCCGAGACCCCGAGCACAGGTGCCTGCGCCAGGGCCAAGAGCGAACATGCGGGGCAGCTTCTGCGTGGGCCGGCAGACCCCGTGTTCCGGGGGCTCCTGCCTCTCTGGTGCCCCACCCCTGACGCACACCCCGCCCTTTCTCCTCGCCCCAGGACAGCCCACGGCCGGCCGGCCTGCCTCCCGCCGCCGCCCACACTCCATCTCTCCCGCTGAAAAGTCCTTTCCCCCTTCTCGGCCTTCCGAGCACAGGTCAGACGTCCCTCCTCTAAATGCTGTCCTTGGCCCCTGCCCCCTCCCCCACCACAGACTGGGTCGGAGCCGCCCTCTCGCCCCTCCGGGCCGCTGCGCCATCTGGGACACTCGTGCCTCACCCCTCTCCCTGGAGGGCTCCCCTCGAGGTGGCCCCTGCCCTGGGCCTCCCACGAGTGCTCATGCGAGGGGACTGCCCATGGGTGAGCCGCCGCCCTCCACCGGGGCCGACGCAGAGCCAGGTGTGCCACAGGTGGGCCCGACGACCGAGCCACCACCCTCTCGGAGCACTTATTAAGTCGTTCAGACTCAAGGCGACAAGAGGGAACCGTCCGGCCTTCGGAAAAGCCCTCAGAACTTCTGGAATCGACAGACTCCCGAGACCCGGGTGAATCCAGCCGGGACAGGCGTCCTGCCCGAGGTCGCTCGGGACAGCAGGAGGCATGGAAGGGAGCCCCCGAGACGAGACTGGGGGCCAAGGGAGGAAATCACTATTGATTTTTTCTTCATATTTCTTTTTTTTTTTCTCTTTGTATTCTGTGTTGCTTCCCTGGCTACTGTGTTCATGTATTCCTACTTTAGTGATTTTTTTTTTAGATTTTATTTA